CACTTCAAACACTTCTGAACAACTTCTAGTCATTACTGGCCTCTATGAACCTCTGTAGAACAAGCTACAAGAAAGTGGGGATTTCAGTCCTATTCAGCCCGTGTCCATCTTGGAATAATCAACATTACACTTGTCACTCCTGCCCTGACTGAGAGCTAAGACGTGTCTTAAGGCAGCATCTCCACAAAGCCCTGGAGGACTCTTCATTCCCAGAAATTTGGGGCTTATTCAGAGGACACAGAGCTTCATTTATGTGGTTGTCACTCTACCAGTACTGGTAAAAAAAATAAATACCATATCCAAGTGTTCAGTTCTAAAGCAGCTCTTCATTTTAGATCCCAGTGTGATGTTTTAAAGGAAAAATACTACACCAAACCAAAATCCCAACCCTACCAGATAACAGCCATTAAACAAAGCTGAAGTACAGATCAAATTGGCAAAACTATGGAGTGGAACAGAAGTTTAAAGAGAAAAGTGAAGATAAATATACTTCAAGTGTATGCCTGACAGCAGCCAAGGTTTTATGGTATTGGAAAAATATAGAACAGTGATAAACAAGGTTAGTCCATCCACCCCCATAGTAACTTGCTGTCCTATTAATTCAAGTGCACAATGAAAGGCAGCTCTTATGAAACAATGCAGGATGACATTTAATTCTGTGTTCTGCTCTGGCCACCTCATCCTGCATCGATCCATTTTCAGACACCAAATTCTACACTGTAAGGCTGAAATGGCAGACACTGCATGGTCTTGGGTCAGGAGCACGTTCTGCTCAGCCCTTGTATGGCCTCAGAGGTCTGACGTCTCTCACCTTCCAGGATTTCTCATTCCCCACTTTCCCCAGTCCTAATGGAGCACTGCCAAACCACAGTTCCCAATCCCAATGACAACATGTAGTCCCTGGCTGCTTTGAGACTCTTGGACTGTGGCTGACATTGCTTTTCAGAGATGTCACAGAAACACTCAACACCAGCTCTGGAATATACACACACATTTACCCATTTTCTGATGCAGTGCACCAGAAAAAGCTGTCTAGCCCCCATTCACACTCAATTTTTCCCTGCTCCAAGATAAACCTTAAGATAAGAGCCTAAGTCTGGCTTCCATTCTACCACAGCAGAGACCACAAGAAGTGACTCAGCCTCTACCACTACCTCTCATTCCTTCCCTGCTTCTGTGAAATTCAAGAGCCCTTCTGAGAGGCTTTCCAAGCCTCTGCTGGTCCCACTGATCTTGGTTAAAATGAAAAAGGTCAATATTAACTATTTTCCTTCTTTGCTCATCTTGGCAGAAACACTCAACTATGTTTCCCCCTCAGTCTTAAACCACAATTAACACCTACCTCATTGCCAAAAGAAAAAGCCCCACCTGCACCCACGCTCAAGAGGAACTTCCCTAGACCAGCTTCTACACACAGTTCTGTTTTCAATAAGAAATTAAACAGCACACCAAGAATTAAATATGTACTGACAGTATGGAACTAACTGCAGGGCCACAGTTGGCCTCTACAAGAAGCACTGGTTATTAATTTCCATACCTCACTCAATACCAAGAATTTTAAAACTTTCCTTAACTGCCATGGAGCTTTCAGCTGCCTGCAGATCCTGCCTCTTTCACCACTCAAGTCTGGCCACTGCTGCCACAGGCAAGCAGCAACTTCAATTCTACCCCCACTTTCATCCCATTTCCTCGAGAAGACTCTTCCTTCCTTACAAGTATCCACACTCTTGGGAAATTTTTGTACCCTGGAGAATAAGGGGAAACTAACAGTTTTAAAATAGCAGTTCATAAAATCTCCTAATAACCTTTTCAGAGAGAGGCACTTGTTTCAGCATCTTTGCTGAAACACTAGAGCAGTTTGATTCTCATGTAAAATCTCATTTACAATGTCATCAACTTTCTTCTAATGGACCATTCATCATGGTAGGGTTTGCTTTCAAGTAGCCAGCCCAATACCTTGAAAGGTCTCACACAAGTCATTTAGCAGACTCACCCTTCCAAAGCCAGGGAACTACCTATAAACACATTAGGAAAGGCTGTGCAAAACAAAATCACCTCAGTGAAGCTCAGGAAAAATATCCTAATTTCCACATATATATGCCAGAAAAAGCCTGTGTGTGGGATGGTACTAACCTTTGAATTCAATCAGACTCTCTAAGAGGTCTCTAACATGCAGAGCATGGCTATGATGTATTTTCCTTTGAGGCTGGTTCAGCTCATTTAGAAAGTGATTTGGAAAAGCTAATGTACTATTTATGTACATTATAAAAACTACCCATATGGAGTTAAAACTTTGCAAAATGTTCACATAAGTCCGCTTCACTCCCTCTGAAGACATTTCACAATCCATTCAATACCCAGTAGAGGAAGCCAGGATTACTGTTTTAAAACAGCTCTGAGGGTAGTTTCAATGTTTTAAAAGCTGACAACTTCTAGACTGAGAGCCAAATAAACATTTGGGGCAACAGAGAGCCTCTTACACAAGTGTCTACAAAGTGACATCCACCTGCATCCTTCCAAATACTGATTTAAAATAAAGGTTAAAAGAGAATCCCAGGCACAACCTTCCCTCCTACTAAAAAAGAGAATATTTTTAATATGATTCAGATGATGATGTACTGAATTGGCTCGTGAAAGACCACCTAGCAGGACGTGGTTAAGATTTGCAAACAATAAAAAACAATCACAAGATATCTAAGGTTTTTAAATCCTGCCAGCATATACAACTGTGCTGAGGGGTTTAATCCTTGAAAAGAGTTTAACCAACTGAAGTGACAATGACTCTTGAAAAACACAGCACATGTGGAAGTTGTCACCCCAGTGATTTCATTATTTTTAAATTAGGAAAATTTTAGAGAGTTATCTTGTCATATTACTAGCATAGTTTAAAGCTACCTTTCCTTTGTTTCAGAAGAATATACAGAATTAGTGAAACATTTTACTTTAATGGATTTACCTTACCTAGAAGATTTATATGAATTTCAGAGTTTGCAGTATCAGCTTTTTGCAAAACAGAATTCTGCTATAAGTTTGTTGTTTTTTTTTTAATAGGAATGCTCATTCTTGCAATGGAGAACAAAGCAGGAAGAATTTGAGGAGAAGAAACTAATCCCTTGGAGAAGAGGATGCATCCACTTGATGACAAGAGACCTCAGATTCAGAATCAATATCCACCAAAACAAACTTGTTTCCCAACTTGTTTCCCGTGGCTGTTTGCAGTGATTTTTACACAACTGTAAACAGATGATATGCAAGTCTAAACTACTCGATTTTGCCTATTTTCAACAGCCAGCCTGCATATGCCTTGTTTATACAAAACACACAGCAAAAAAATGATAGCAATTCTTTTATTGAACCACTAGCAATCAGGAATTTTCTCCTAAGAATTCCTACGCTTGAAGGAAACTTCACTGCTTGCCTTAGTATTCCATAAAGACATTAGCAGCAAAGCTTGTGCCAGCCTTTGACTTCCTTTGCAGGTCTTCCCCAGGACTAAAAGAGTTTCATTATCTTGTCTCATTAGAGGGTGTCTGAGGGAGCCATGGGAAAAGAAGAGGTATAGTAATTACCCAGCTGAATGGACAGGGCAGAAGGAGGCAAAGCCACCCAATTGCCAGGCTTGTTGACAGCCAACACCCCTTTACTCCTGGTGGGCAGGCAGCCACCAGCACCATGTTACACCAGCCATGAGACAATTGAAAAAAGCAACAAGATCAATAAATAAATAGCAGTTGGCACACCTCCCACACCAAGAGCCTACCCTTACTAGCTCGGGCTACGCCTCAAACTGAATATGAAAAGCAAAATCATTTTTGGTCTACCCATCAGGTAGAAACAAAATTTGCTTTCTGTGTCTAGTCCTTTTCTCCTCCCACGCAATCAGGATTCCGAGTGTGTAAGAGTCCAGAGTTCTTATGCCCTCGAGAGAGGAAAGGCCTGAAGTTGCTCAAGAACAATTCCTTTAGCAAGTGCACAAACTGGCTCTGCAGGGAGTCCAGTCCTACTTAGACAAACTCTTGGTAGCTTCTGTATGTGGCCTGAAGGGAGATAGAAGATTAAAACAGTTTGTGTGGGAAGATTTCCCAAGGCTCTCCTTGAAGTGGCATGAAGCATAAAAAAGGGGTACAGCTCCAAGGTTGTATTTCAGAGAGAAAGGGAGGGACATCCTTTTCCACTTAGCCCACCTCTGTAAGGCTTTTTGTCTCCTCATTCTGTCCTAAAAGATGGAGTGGACTGTACTTGCACATGAAAACAGGCTCTTATTCTAGAAGATTCTTGGAGCAGGATAATAAGTAGTAACAATGTGCTTAAAGTTTCCTTCCACTTCTCCTCCTATCCTAATTACACAGCATATATTAACAGAACCAGACAAAGACTGTCCATCTTTGCTTCTTCAGCTAAGGCAGAGCTCCTAATTAACTTCAACATTATTTCTCCCCAACTGTCAAGATGTCCTCAAAGAACATGAAAATTACATATCTGGTACATTTAAAGGAGGGAGGAAAACCACCAAAGTAAATTGCACATGCACAACAAACCAACCCAAGAAATTAAACTCGCTTTTAAGTTACTAAAAATAGACAGGATGGGAGGGAAGGGACTATCAATCAAACTTTAGAGTTGCTGAATATTCAAAGAACAGCCTTGTAATAGACTGCTCTCTCAAGATTGCTTGAAATTTTTATGATAAAAAATGCACATGAAAAAAGGAGCAGAAGGATAACGAAGAGCAAAATACACATGACAGAAGTGGATAGAGAGTATTAATTAGGCCATTAAGGTACTTAAATGTTTTACTGTCCAATAAAATATGTACTTCATAAAAATTAAGTGCCATACAGAAGGAATGCACACATTCATTTACTGAGCTGTTCTGAAGAAACCAAAGATGTGAATTACTAGCAAAAAACATTTGTGAACAAGAGTGAATAGACATTAGTAAAATTGTATTTGTACTATGAAAACAAAGAATTTACAACTGGATAGAAATTTTCACTCACATTTACTTAAGGGAGAAATTCATCTGCTCTATAAGCATCTCATCAATCTGCTTTTATGAGGAGTCTGCAGTCAACTGAAATAGGGAGACTTATAAATACTTGAAAAAAACAGTTCAGTGATTAATACTGAATTATTGACTGAAGTCAATGCATTAAGACCAGACAATAATTTGTACTCACAATTAGTCGATTAACCATGTCTGGAAGTACAGCAAGATGTCTTTTCATAGCCCACATTCAAGAGACAGAAAAAAATGCTTCAGCTTTTCCGTCTTGCAAATTTGTCAAAGAAAAAAAAAAATCATTGCAAAAATGACACCCAGACCTTCAGCTCCACATTTTCCCTGGTTTCAGTCTTGCAATCAGTTACATCAGGGCCCATCAGCCATTACAGATGCATAAAACAACAGTTTAACTGAAGTTTACCTGTCAGAAAACACTGCAGAAGCTCAGGGGACTTCTAAGGCATTTGCTGCAAAGCATATGCAACTGTAAGAGAACAAAGACCTTCACCACCCAATACAGTGTGGACGAAGCTTTATAGCACATTTCACTGCCATACTTTTCTTTCTTTACAGTGGATATCCCAGTCATGAGTCTGGAACCTCAGGAAACTCCTGAATGTACAGGGACTGAACCAAAATAACAAAGCTGGTGTTGGGCATGGTTACATGTGAGAGAAGCCTCTGTGCTCTGGACAGCTATTAAGGAAAAGGAAAGAAAAGGGAAGGCAAGAATCTGTACTAAAAGCAAATGAGAAGTTTTCTCCCTTTTCATTAACATCACCAGCTCAAAAGCACATGATTTTTCTTTTTTTAACCACATTTCCACTTGGATTGGAAAGGAAAGCTGTCTCATCCACGTCTAACCATCAGTGAGGTGAAGTTTTTGCTCTTGGAAGCATTTCTGGTTACGGAGCCCCTTGGCTCTGACAGCAGAACACCCAGACACCGCTCAGACACTGAGCTAGAAGGAATTCAGAGTAAATCACCACATGCCAGAGGAGCTGATATGGAGCTGAGTGCTAGCAGAGATCCCCCCAGAATAGGAAAGCCAGCTGGAGGGAACTCTGAGCGGTTTAACAAGCACCTCACCAGTCTGTGTCCCCTTTGTCACCTCATGCTGTCAACAGAGCAGCCCCATAACCCTCGCTGGCCCCGCGCTCTGCCATCGCTGCACCAGCTCCTCTGAGAACAGACACAAATTACCACACCTGGGCCAGCAATGAGCCTTTATTTGCACGGCATAAGCGGCAAATTCGAGCAGTTCCCTGTTCTCTACCAACATCCTGTTGCCACATCTACTCCTCCAGGAAACTGCAACACCGAGAGAGAGAATTTGGCGTCCCACAGAACGGCTCAGACGCCAAATGGCCAGCGGAGCAGTTAGTGGGAGCTTGCTTACAAAGACAACAGGCACATTAATCTGCTTGTCATTTATGCTTTCAGTTATTCAGTGCAAGGCTGCTTATCACGTTTACTGAAGAGGGAGGGTACAAAACAAAGCAAAAAGCATTATTTTGATTTGTTACCAGGACAGATGCTCTACAATGAGTACGCTCACACAGCTGGCACCAAAGTAACTAGGATATGAATTACTACGTATTTCATCATTTTTATTCCCTGTTTTCAAAAAAGCAAAAACTTTCACATTCATTCATCCTCTAGATTTATATGAAAACACAAGAGTACCCACAGGAAGGAATCCACAGTCACCTAAGGATACGTGTCAAGATTAAGAGTTTGCCAGCACAAAGAAGTTACACCAGCACAACTTGAATCCACATTTATGACTTTATAGCTGAGACTCCACACAAAACTTTACAAGACAAGTGTGGCATGTTCTTGTTAGATTAATCTTTTCACAATCAACACATCAGCTAAGCTGAACCAAGCCTGGTTTAAAAGAATCCATAAGGACATATACTGAGTTTTGCATAACCTTAGTTTATATTCACAACCTGGCTTACAGCACAGCTATTTTTGAATCAACAAATTGAGCAGCAGTTTTACATGAGAGAAACTTTTCCTTAAATGTTTAATATAACTCATGACAAATTGAGCTGCTTAGCCAAAAATTACTACTTGACATAAATTCCATAATTAAAATCAGGTAATCCTTTATCACATCTTGCTGTGCAACAAAAAAACCTGTTCTCAGGTTTTCAGACAGCCTTTGAAATTAAGTAAGAGCATGAAAAATACAAGATGAAGCACTAAGAAAGCAAATCTTTAAAGGGTTTCTAGCAAGAATAAAAACCACCATCCACAAGCTGTAGCACAGCAAACAACGTATTTCAAACAAAGAACAACAACAACAAAAAAATAGTTGCAAATGCAGATAATGCAATATTTAAGAAGCAAAACTACCTGAGGAGTTACCAGAGACAACATACATATGCAGCATTTCAGAAACAACTAGTTCTGCAGTCGTGATTATGTGGTCAAAGCATTTCCTTAGTGTGTGTACAGAGGGTGTGCAGCTGCCCCCAGATGTAAGGACACCTTCCCTCGTACCCACCGTGATGGCATCACTCCAACCACGAGAACGGAGCTCGAGTGCTTGGTGAGGTCACCAAAACACTGCAGTGCATTGTGCACATCTCCCTTTTTCCAGAAGAAAACATTTTTTTAAACTTGAATTAGTACCTTGAGTTTCTGGCTATCAGACTGTATAGCCACATCCCTTAGAAACTGGATCTGATTCTGCATTTTCTGATTGCTAAACCCCAGTTGCTGAGACACCCCTGCTACCCAAATACCGAAGGGAACTTGTGTACTCACAATATGGAATGATTAATGCACGTGTAAAATTCTGCAGGATCAGCACCTTGGTGTGTGGTCAGAGTATTGGACTATTTATTTTTGTCAAGTTTATTGAGTACCTAGAAAAATCCCATTATAAATAAAGCAGCATGCTCTTAATAAAACTTGACATGCATGCTAAGTTTTCAATTTATAATGGGGCTTATATACATTTTTTTTTATTTTAACTCTATGTTTTAATTTGATTTCATGCATCCATATATTCATTTCCCTCGTATTTATTCTCAAGCTAAAAAAGCTCCTCCATTTATTTCCTAAATGCTAAAAGAACTACAGGTTTAAAAACTTGTTTTTATGCTTAGAAACCTCATACTGAAAGAACACATTTACACTGAAAAACACCAACTTCAGGCTCCATTAATTATGCTACTGTAAAAATTCTAATGGTCACAGAAGCAATAAGCAAATATCCCATGAAACATTCCCAGACAAGCATCATTTTCCAATCTATTGAGCTCACAGTTCAAAAAGCTCAAGTGCTATTATCAGGCTATGCTCAAGCAACATTTGCAGGTTTAGTCAATAGAACTTTTGTGTTTAGGAGCATCTGAAGACCTGACTCATAGCTACTTAAAATTCAGGTTAGCAAGTTTAACTTTCAACTGTTACAGTTCCTTCTGTTCTGGGGAACATAATAAATAAATAACTAAACAAATGCTTATTTTAGCTACTGGAAGTGCATAACTTGCTATTGCAAATTATTTTTAAAACTGAGTCCATTTTGAAGACAACAAAGAAAAAGTTAATAATTCATCATAAAGGTGATCTTGTAAACACCTGATTACACCATAAATTTGAAGAAATTCCTGTCTTCAACAGGAAAAAATACTCCAGTTAATGGTTCCTGCCCTTACACTTTTGCTGGTATCAAGAGTTTTTAAAATCTAGTGCATATTCTCCTGGTAGTTTTGACTTCCTCTCTCTCGTATAGAAAAATACCCAGATATTTATCTACAGATTTCCAACTTCTACCAGCACAGCTAAAAAAACACCACAAGCTATAAAAACAGTTTCTAGCAAATCCTTAATTTGATTTGAAGCACTTATTTTTGATGTAAGTACTTCCATCATTTCATCTTGATTTATATTTGTAACGTCTGCTGTAGTGTAGCACTTATTAATTAAACTGATTAAGGATCTTCAGCTGTACCATAGGTCCTCCACTCTTCCACCCACTTTGTTCCTAACTGTCATTAACCTCTAGGAAATGTCCTCTTTGTTGGTTATTACTGTTTAATTATACTGTATAGTTATGTCATCACATCTGTGAAATACAACCTCCCATAACAACACAGCTGTGGAATATGATACTCCTGCCCAGCAGTAAAATCCTGGTTACAGCAGAGAATCCACACACATCACATTGATGGAGGAAGTGATACAAAGCTTTTCAAAAGCCCTTGATTCTGAGTAGGGCTGTTGAGACAGGAGGTAAGTACAGCCTTCAAGAGAGGTCTCAAACTCCCCCTCTTTCCTCCCATCCCTCCTGACAAGATCCTCTGTACATTTCAGGAATTACTTCTAAACTTAGCAATGAGAAGTTCTATACAGAAATAGTGAAGTGAGAAGGAACCTCAGGAAACAGAATTTATGAGCTCACCATCTATTTTTTAACAAATAGTATGAACTACAACTGAAAGACACTTTTTCCTGGAACCCTCTGCTCCATTCATGATCTCATGATGCACAAGCATTTCCTTTTGTAATGTATTTGCTTGTAATGTAACACCAGCAGAGACTGCAATGGTCCAAAGAAAACAGCACTTTGCCCATTTCTGCCATCCTTTACAGGTGTGGAGGGAAAAGGGAGGACAACCACTCAAACAACTGGTTTTAGAATATTACCAGCAAGAGCTCCCCACATCACAAGGACCTCCCTCTAAAACACTGGATGGAAGGATCACTAATTCCTGAAATTAAACATAAACTGTACATTCTACTGGTACACGGAAAAGGTGTGGCTTTACCAAACACAGCAGGAGTGTTACCATAATATGCAGAAAACATTGTGTATGTGTACTACAACCTGTCCTCACTTTGTCCTCCTTCTGACAACATTAGCTGGCAGTAAGCACACAGGCTTCTCTACAGGAAAGAAATGGCACTTTATGTTTACTGGGGAGAGATTTGTGTGTGTGTGTGTGTAGAGGGTGACTGGGAGAGAATTGTCTGATTTTTCAAGAGTGGAGATAACGAGATAACAGCAGACAGTTTCAAGCCTCAATCAAGACTGTGTACACCAAGCTTCAACAAGATTTTCTTTTTCCTCGTCTGGGTTACAAACCCTTGACTGGCCAGTAAGGAGTTGTTTACCTGACAGAAGCAAGGGGGCAAATTCCTTTAGATTGATGCAAAACATTTTCCTACTCTGGAAGTCAGAAAGGGAGGAGCACCGAGTTTATTTATGTAGCTCAAACAGCAGCCAAGCTACGAGGATGCCTTATTGTGTAGAGTTCATAAGTGTACATTAAACTCCTCCCTTTAAAGCAATGCAGAAGGAAAGTTGCCATTCCCGCTCCAAGGAGCAAAGGGGAGAGAAATAAGCAACGAAGGTGCTGTTTGACATAG